TTTTTACATCATCAGAGAATCTATACACAAGGGACTAAATTACAGCTAGTGTTTCAACGAGTCACTTGGAAAGGTTACAAGTTAGAAGGTGAACAAAATATTAACAAAACAAAGAAATTGGCTTTACCATAAAGAAGAAAACATACTAGAAAACAGAGCTATGAAAAACTAAAAATGCAAGTCTGAGGAAAAAAAAGGGCTGAGCTCTTTTCTTTGCTTTTAGATCAATCTGTACAATGGGACTGGCAATCCCCTGAGATAAGAAAAAGAAAACACATGGAAAATAACAGTGATGTCTTTTAAAGACAAAGAAAAAAATTAAATTAAGACTATTTGGCAGTCTCTTCAGCTAGCCAGTACTGAGAAGAGGTTATATTTTTGTTTGAGCGCAATTTATATTTTTAATAAATGAACCCCAGACTACTAGACTGCAAACTTAGCGAGATGCAATCCAATGAAACAGCCACTAATACCCTACAGGGTAGTCTGCTGGTAGGATTGATTGATGGTAAAATTTTAAAGTTCTTAATTAAAAGGCATTCGATTTTCCTAAACTGTGATGAAAAGATACTTTCAAATGTGACTGCAAAAAGCCCTACTCACTTGAAGTTAGTAGTAGCCAGAAAGAAGAAAAGAGAAAAAGAAAAAAAACTGTCCTACCTCAATACACAACATTTGAGTGCCAGCTGTGAAAGAAATTCTCTCTCTTCCACTAACGATTGCACAGAAATAGAAATACTTCATGGTTCTGTCTTCCATCAGTGCTTGCCCCTTCCCACTATTTTATATGGGGGAAGATGAAGGAGGAGGAAAAAGGAGAAAATAATGGAGCAAATCGAACCAGCAGCTGAGCCATTGGCCCTATTGACAACCTACGTTGCACTGCTGCATACACAATGCCTTCACACAGCCAGGTCCCAGGCAGATGAGGGTTGTGTCTTCCATACAGCATCTTTAACGCCTTTCTATATAACGCATAGCAAAATCCTATCAGTATTGCCACAAAGCAACATAGGAGCCCTGTACTCCACAACTTCCATGCCATGATAGCATAGACAGAGAAAAAAGAGGACCTCTCAAGTAACATTATACTAACTTCACTCAAAATGTGATCTCCATTTAACTCTTAAAACTCCAGCAAGTCTAGAAAGCTTGAGGTATCCTCCTCTCCCATATTTCCAATTCTCCTGTATATATTGAGTACTAGAAACACATAGCATGAATATGCTGGATAATTTGGTTGATGGTACTATTTTTGACAGAAGTAAAACACTTAATCCTAAGCTTAGATAATACAACTATACTTGAATAAACTCATTTTCTATTAATTTGTATTTCCCCTCCAAAACTTTAAGACAAGTTAGGGGAAAAGCAGAAAACTAAAAACATATAAATCCTTTCCAAATCCTTTCACAAAATATTGCCCTGTTCTAACAGCCCAAACAGAGCTATTACTTAGATCTTTACATTTTTTAAAGCCACAGAATAATGCATACTAATAGAGTAAATGTCTTTGGGGTCAGCAGTGCAAATCAAGCTTATAAATAAGTGAAGCCCAACTAAAGTAATTTATCCAATTTTTTTTTCTTAATTCCATTTCATGGTGATTGTCTTTCTCAAGCTTAGCATACATGTCACCTTTTCAAGTTTACTAATTATGCTAAGACATCTTTTCCCTACCAGCCTTCTCGTTTTAAAAATTCTTTGGGCATAGAGTAAAAGAAATTAAATGTATGCCAAACAATATTTAAGTTTATATCTGGAATGTTATCATTCTTTATTAGTAGGTGCTCTAGAATTAGAAATATCTTTGTTGCCACTATAACCAGCTATACAATTTTCCACAAAATTATTTAGCTGCAAGCCTGACTGTGTAATAAAAGTTCAAGATGAAGTTTGATTACTTTCAAGTGCTAGGCAGTGAGCGCTGTTTCTTGTAGTAAGCAGTCCATGTACTTCAAAATACAGACAGACATGAATACAGCAACAAATTCTAGCCTCATGAAGCAACAAATTGAGGCACCAGTTTCCATTAGGAGCCAACAAAGGAAATACCATACTGACAGAGAAACATTCTGTGTACAGATAAAGAAAACTAGCACTTAGTGTTGGTTTCAAACGTCTGAAAATGCTTGCTGCTTTTCTAGCCAAGTACTAAAACAGGTGGATTCACATCAGAAGTTACAAGAATATGGAAAATGCAAACCTAACAGACTATTAATCATTCATTTAGGAATGAAAACTTTATGAAGAAGAGAAGGGCTGAATGAAGCATAATTTATCATACAACATGATACAGCAAAGATGACAGAATTTGAACTAGCAACATGCAAGATGCACCTGTTGAAAAGATTTCCACTAAGCAAGCTGAAAGCTTGACTGAGGATCAAGTTAGCAGTTGATTAACAGCAAAATCTATTTAGGCAGGAACACCAATTTTTGCCAGCTCATGCTTACAGTAGGTGTTATTACTGCCAGACAAGGCAGCACTCTAAATAGCTCCCAGGATTTACAAAGACTGAGAAGAGGAAATTGTGCTATTCAAGTGACTCTGAGTCACACAAAACCCCCAATTTTGTAAGCTCCGAAAACAGGCATGACAAAATAAAGATCAGCAGAAGGGTTAAGATGCAAAAAAACATGAAATAACTCTACAGTCAGACATCTGAGTTAGTTCAGGAAATAGAAAGAATAGGGAATAATCTGAAGATTAGTGTCTCCCCCCGCCCCAGTCAGATCTTTCCAATTCAGGAGAATAAAAGGTACTATTGAAGTTACAAAATTTCATAATCTCGCACAGAGCTAAGTATATGTATTTAAAACATATATGTGGTTCCAGCAATACTGATATCCTACTTGATAGATGGAGATTAAAAATCTATAGTTTTTACTCATCAAGATACCGGTATGTAAAAAAATGTGTTTGATTTCAAACTAAAAATAAAACTGAACTAAGAGTCGAGGCCCCTAAAACTCAGAGAATTCTTGGACTATTTGGTTGAAGTATTTTCTCAAATTAGGTGATGCTGATCTAGCGCTTCATAGACATGAATATTGCATAGCTGGATTAAGGGATGGACACCCACCTCCAGAAGTTTCAATTACATCTTCAGACAGAAGGGCTATGAAATTGATTCACAAATCCATGAATACCCTAATCATCATTTTATCTTCTTCCAGTTTTCCAAGTGTATCTCTCCACCAAACCATCCAGTGCTGCACTTACCTTCAGCTTCACATACTACTGAACAAGCTGAAATCTACTTCCTGCACCCCTTTTTCCAATGCTGATAGCACCACAACACAAATTAAACTTTCTAGACTCACAATCCAATGGATTAAAGGTAGAGTGCATTTTTTGGTGTGATTTAAGTAGAAAGACTAGTTTTACCATTTTCTGTACTTAAATATTTGTTCTTACTCTGTAATAGTTTGTTCTGTGACTGTTCCCAGAGGTTCCAATTAAAATTGAGTTCTTGAGGTACCAGGTGTTGTTTTCATGAATGAGTGTAGAATTCCTGCCTGAAAGAGCCTACTTTTGAAAAGCCAATTTTACAAAGTACTCAAACAATGTCCCTATCTGAAGTCGATATTAAAACTGCTATAAACCTAATGGAAGCAAAGATAGATTAATAAAGAGTACTTTTGAAAAACTTCACTCATCACTGTCCTGTATTTTAATCATTCAGGCTTAGCAGTTTACCATACTGAAAGAAGAGAGGTTGCAGTATTAGCAAAAGATGTGGTGTCACTAAGGGAGATACTCTGGACATAATTTGCATTTTTTTCACTTACCAGCCTATATTCTGATTTAAACCCCCCCCACTCTTTATTGCATTTGTATTCTAGATGTACAAGAAGTCTGAAGCAACTATGCCTTAACCATCTGAAAAGCAAATTTATTTGAAGCAATTTAATATGTAGGATTATACTTGCACTGTATCTGGAGACTCTGAGGCATTGATAGCACATGGTCAGCACTGAATTGGAGACAGAATGTGGTAAAGAACTTTGCAGAAGTACAATTAACTTGAAATTATTTCGGAGAGGCTCTTGAACATTTCAGAGTCTGCTGCTTCTACAGGGCTTAAATAAAACAAGTCAGGTATTCCTTCTTGGAACAGACAGATGGGGTGAAGAGAAGGCAGAGGGCCGAAAAGGATAGCTAACTTCAAGCTCCTCTCCAGTATTTATAAAACTTTACGTGCAAACCAAAAACTAGTCTGCGGCAAATGAACAGCAGATTTGTGGTTGTACAAAAGAGCTTAGTAAACCTTCTAGATCTAGGTCAAAACACTGGGCAATTCTAGGCAAAGGGTTGCATTTAGCTGTGCAGTATCCAACTCACTCTTGCCATAGAAAGTTGAACAACTTAAATCTTTACAATAACCTGTGAAAAGTATTTCCATGTTTAATATAAGAAAATATACAAAAATAGCCAAAACAAGGAATTCCAGTCTCCCTGCTACATAATCTGGTTGCTTTTGCTGTTTGTTTCATCTTTGGACAAATGGGAGTGAAAATTCAGTGAATTTATCTTGATAAGAAATTGAGAAATCACAAGCACTTGGTCAAATAAGAACGCAAACTGACAGCCCCTGACCATTGCCCTTTGCTCCATTTCTGTGCCAGTTAACATCACAGACATCAAACTATGACCATTTTTCCCAGGGGATGGGGAAGAGAGGAAGCGCAGAAGGAAAGAAGAGCTCAGGATCATGTACTTACATACTTGTACATAGTTCAGAAAGTCTGAAAAAACAGTAAAGATAGGAAGGTTCCACGTAGTAACTCATATTGCAATGTAAACCCAACAATGTTTTCATCTCTTGCTGACTTGCTGCCCTTCTCCCCTGATCTATATAAAAAGGTAATGCTTACACAAATCTAAGGGGCTTTGCTGCTGTGTGTGTCTGAAATTAATTTTTAATAAAATAGGAAGACTGGATTCTATCCCTTCCCTCTGAAAAAAAACCCAGGCATTTAACAAAGTTACTAACCTTTTTCGTTGTGCGGATTTCTTTTTTCTAAAATAAAAGAGAAAGGAAATGACGGTCAAGAGAAATAATAATTCCCAATTTTCCCTCATATACAAATCTGCTTCAATCCATTTGAATTAATAACTCGCCTTATTAAAAGAGAAACAATAGGAACTTTTTTCATATCATATCTTTGGAGTGCCCGGAATAGTGAAAAACATATTTCAACAGCTTACTTGCCTAAAATCTTCCTATCTGTGGTGGTTAAATTTACAGAAACAGGAGTATACATCTTTCTATTTCAATACTGTGGCTGGAAACCCAGTATAAAAAAACATGCTAAAAGTATTTCAGTGACATCACACAAAAAGAAGAAGAAAAAAAAGTCTGTTATGTTGGAATGATGACATTGAGAGGTTTTGAGTTACTACTCAAACAGAACTAGTTATTTCCATGGTACATGTTGAAAGAACCATAGTTAAGATCTAAAAAGAGATTAAATTTGCCTTTTTCCATAAAACCTGGTTTTGTTCCAACTAGCAGTAGCTTTAAGTTACCCAAACTCTTCAAAAGTCTTATTTCATTATAACAAACAGGCTGTAAGGAAAGTCTTAAAAATTTTAAAAAAGTAGTCTTCCCACCCAAAAATCACAAAAATAATTAGATACTATCTTGCATTTTTACAATAGAAAAAATGAACTTGATCAGAGGTAATGGCATTTCAGGAGAATTACAGAACAGAAGCCAAGAATTTTTCTTCTTGTTGAAAACAAACAAAACAACAACAAAAAACCTAACAGTAAAACCAAAATAAAAGATGCCTTTGCTTAATGCCTGGTCTGCTGGCTATCAAGTTTTGGGTACCCTGTTAAACTCAGAATATGAGGGATGGGCCATTTTGGTATCTCAGAATCGGAAATTCCACATTTCTGAGGTACACAAACAGAAGTTATTTACAGTGTTAATATGAACATAACAGTTGTACTGAGTCAAATCAAAGACCGAGTAGCTTGCTTCTGACTGTGGTCAGTAGGGAAAGAGTACATAAAAGGACTTGCACTTTCTTCAGTATACCCTTTCCAGTGATCCATGGCTTTGTAAACAGCCAGAGAAATAGATGCATCATTTTGCTAAACAACCTTTGACGACCTTTAATGTTTAATGAAGTGATGATGAACCCAAGATCTGAAGTCTACAAGTCAAAATTCATTTTTTGTAAAAAAACCTCAGAAAAAGCTTTGCAGTTTAAAAAAAAGTTCTGAACTTTTAAATACTGTTTCTGTTCCCCCCAAAGAAATTAAAACCCATGAACTATGACAGCACTTTAATTGCAATTAAAAATAAGTTTACAATACTAAATAATAAAAAAAAATTTCAGAAAGGCAAACCTAGAAGATGCTAACATGAAAAGGTCAATAGCAATTCCTAACATCTTACACCATAGCAATGACCTTGCAATAAGAAAATAATATGTAGCAATTAGAATTAGCCTACTGATGAGCTAGTGATGATTTAACATTTAAGGGCTGCAAGTTAAATAGAAATGGAACAAGTGGTGTTCCATACCAACTCTTCCTTTTAATTTTTTATCCATATCATATTTCAGAGGTTATTACAAAATAAATCCTACAAAATTCCAAATTACAATTCAGACTTAGGCATTTTGAAAGCCACATCAGTCGTATAGGAGCTGTGCTGACAGCAGAGCTCTGTGGTTCAGGGGTGTTCCAGAATTCCATAAACTTCAGGAGCAAGGTTTGATTGGTACATTTACACAAGAGGTTCTTGATTAGCAAATAAATGAGGGACCAAAGTAAGGAAAACCTGATTACATATACACACTGAAGAAAAATAAACCCATGCACAAATCCTAAAGGAGATGCCAACAATGTGGTTTTGATAATCTAACAAAAACACAAAACCTTTTACTGCACTTACCAGCAAAGCATTTGGAACAGAGATTCATAGTCTTGCTGGACCTGAGGCAAAAATAAAAATAAAAAAAAAAAAAAAAAGAGCTAAAAAATTCATTATAATTCTAATCAATACAGGGAATTGGGGGGGGGGGGAGATGAAGCAAGGGTACAGAGAGGGTAAGAACGTAAATGTCTAGGAGTCAAAGATAAGTGGCTAGACGTGGCTGAACTAGGAACAGGGACAAGAGACTTCATATGGCCATCTCTTTCCAATCTAAAGAGCTTCCAAAACATGACTTCCGCACATTTACCTCATATATGAAAATAAGCTTACTCTACCATTAAACGTATATGTTACACACTGATCATTTGGATCTTTCTATTGCAATATGATAATAATGATAGACAGGAAGAACAAATACATTCCACTTGAATATTAGACTCCCCTTGGCAACAGGTCTGCAGTCCTGACAAATCCTGAATACAGTACAGCAATAGAGAGATTAAAGTATTGCACTTATAAGGACACAGACAGATGTGCTCTTGGAAGTCTAGCTGGAATGGCTTAAGAAGTTATTACCTCAAGCTATTCATTACTACCCTCAGCTGCATCCAGCAGTAATCTAAAATAACCTGGCTGACTTTGCACTGACATGGACTAGGACAGTTCATATGATCCATTAGTATGGCTCAACTTTGAGGGCAGCAACTTTCAGCTGAGAGAAAAACAGCTGGAGAACAACAGCAGTATCTTAAGCCTCCCAGATGTCTCCAAAGTGTTTGTGCAATTATGCTACAAGCATTCACCCTCATAAAGAAAGTCAGTAGGCTCACCAAAAAAAAAAAAAAAAAAATTAAGGCTATAGACCTCTCTCCAGCTACCATGAAACTACCCAAAGCAATACACTATGGGAGAACAAATTTCTCCCAGTTTACAAAAGGTTGTCATCTAACATCACAACATCTCCTTTACAAAGCAAGCTGGAGAATATTCTCAAACGCTCTCTATATGTTGAAATGTCTTTAGGTAAGAGCAACCCAGTTTCTGTGCACACTGCCCAATATTTGATTTGTTCAGCATTCCTGAATCAGCTCCGTCATTATGTATAAGCATTAACAGCATCCTGAGCAGGTCTGAAGGTATATGTTGACAGGCAAGGTTGTACCAAAACTGTCCACGCCCACAAGACCTTTTTGCCTCCTCAGGGCAGCCTCTAGCTGAAAGATATTTAGCCAAATTAACTGTATCTTTATCTTTAGAAATAGGCATACACAAAAAAAATTGAGACTACCAAAATAGTTATTTTCTATTTCCAGCCAAACACAGATGGAATTAAGATGAAATCTGCATCTTAAAATACACAAATTATAAAAATCAAAAGTGCTTATTATCTTGAAACAAAAATTGTAACAATTTTTTCAAAGCAGTTAGATCACAAATGAACATACTTGTTAGAATTACAGAATTCCCCCCCTTTCCACTAACAAAGTAAATCCAGACTTAGTCAATCATATCTTAGTATTAGTCATATCAAAACATTACAGATGCTTTTCAATTCATGCACATTTCAAAGCTGGTTTACATCAGGCTCAAGAATTCTAGAACACAGTTCACTGCAGATATGAGACATAAGCGTTTGCCAGCTATAACAAGAGCCACAGACACATGAAAGCTAGTTTTAAATGCAAACAGTATGTGCACAGGAGAAAAGTTAATTCCCAGGAAAAGAAAAGCAGAACAGCATTTTGTAGCCATACAAATACATCATCAAATTGGTATATACCCAAAGATTCAATATCTATGTTGACAGTCTGCACAGATTATCTACCTTCAAAAGAACTGCAATTAAAAACAGCATGGTGAGTCAACACCTACAGCATTAGTGTGCTGCAGTTCAGTACTCACTGCTTATGGGTTAGACCTTCTGGAGCAGCTCAATATGCCAGGCAGGAGCTTCTCTGCAAAGCCATTAAACCCCAGGGGCAGCAAAGAAAAAGAAAGGCAGAGTTCAGATGGTTCATATTGATGACATTGGAACGGGCAATGACAAATGTTTTCAGTGGTATAATCAACCATCTCAGCTGTTAAATATCAATCCAAAGGCTCATATAATATTTACTTATCAGCACACCAACAACGGAAAATACACACACACACACAACATACAGTTACGTGGAAAAAGGCTGCCATTTCCCCCCTCAGATTTTCTGAAAGGACAGTGGTATTGGACAAGTGACCTTGTGAGCTAAATAACTCCAGTTCACTGTTACAGTTTCAAGGATCACTTTCTCTCTGATCCTTTTATATGCTTTTTCAAGGCATTTAAGTCAGTCTGAGGCTGCTACATAAGATGAGAATCTAAACTTTGAGTGAGTTTTTTTGGTCTTAGTTTCTTTTACACAGTCACTTATGTCACTGCAGATCCATCAACATTACTAGAACTAAGAAAATGGCATTTTTTATGAGAGACAGTAACAGTGTTGATCAACAATCAGCCCCTTTTTGAAAGTGCAATATTTAATTAGAGAAAAAGCTTTACAAAGAAAATGCATTAAGCAGTTTACATACGTCAAACTTACTAGGTATTATCTGAGAGTCATGTCAATGTCTGTCAAGTAAAATATATGTTCGACAGCTCTTTGTTACACTGCAAATCCCTCCTCTCATTGATAGAATTTCCTCTTTACAGCAGGCAAGGGCTCTCTCACCAGACTCTTAGAATTGAGCAAACCTGCATATTGCCGCTTTCTCTGTGAGGTAAGTCTTGTTAACCACATCGCTGTTTTACATTAATGATCTCCTAGAGACTTCAGCATTCACCAGAAGCTCATACTGCCAGGCAGGAACACCAAAATATAGAATTTCTTTGCTCGTGATAGCCTTTTCAAATATATTAAACATCTGTAATATCTGTTATTTCTAGAGGTAATTTTATTTGAAACACTTAAAAGCTCTAGAATATCGAACAGTCCTGGTCATGATACAGCCCTCTGTTTCCACTTCACAGGAAAGAGATGGTCACAGTAGCAAACTCTACTTAGAGCAGGTGACCTCTATAGGAAAGCAATACATTTCGTATTTCTAGGAACATATGGTAAAATCTTGACTGTAAAGGTGAATAAGGCACCGTGAAGCTAGAACTTAAAGTCAGTCCTGGCAATGAGAATTACATGTTTTAGACTTCAAGTCTTTAGCCTGACACCCAACATTTCTACACCCTTCTGTCATGATTAGGTTGGGGATATTTCACGTGCTTCTGAATCAGATATCAAATTACCACAGTTTTTAACCAGACATATTAAGGTAATTCCCAGATTTCCCTCATAAAAGTCAGCTTCATGCTTACCAGCACCTAATCCAGAATTACTACAGTATACATTTTATATGTACAATATCCCTAGAAAGACAGTTTTATACTGATAATTTACAGTCTCCGCTTGTACATAATTTAAGCTGGTATTCAGGAAGACATTCATATTTATGGATAAATCAAGACAAATAGAATGGTATTATCTGCAAGGCAGAATATAAAGTTAAATCCTATTTGAAGGTACTTCCATCTGTCAAAAAGAAACAATTTAACTAAAGGGTGACACGAAATTATTATGTATATTGGAAACCACAGGGTGAAGCAAGCTTTGAAGGTCAAGTGGCAGAGCAAGTTAGAGGCAGAGGATACTTCAAGCCAGCTGGAAAACCGCAGAGGCTACAGAATGATCGCATGCAACAGTTCCACAGGGCTGGGTCTGAAACAAGTGTAGGTATTAAAAGTGTTTCCACTGCCAAAGTAAAAAAATGCTCCCTTAACAACACAGCCATGAAAGTAATAGCAATGCCATAGGAACTTTGAAAGAGGAAGAGATTTACAGAAATGGGAAATCCTGGAAGTTATAACATATTTATACTTTAAGCAATAAATAAATCACAGGTAAATATAAAAATAAAAAACACATTTGAAGCTATTCAAACCATTATCCCCTACTTGCACTGTTATGCTTACAAGTCTCCATAGCAAAAGAAACTATTTGAGCCTTCACATAGATGCACACGCAGACCACCATAAGGTCCTAACCTCAGTAAGATCAACATCTGCATCTCTGGTTAAAGGTGCATAATGCAAAGTGAGAGCCAGCAAAAGCCATTAAATATCAAAAATAACATACTTCAAATCCTATGTATTGATATGTAACTAATTAATAAAACTGAAGAGATTGCTTCCCTGATTCCATTTTCATACAGTACTTCCAGTACATTCTTATGAAATATCTACTCCACTAAAAGCACTGAAAGTTATTTACTCAAATTTATGCCCTATACTACTAATTACTCCTTTTCTTTCTTGCCATGTGGCAAGATACCATTGTGAGATACCATCCATGCACATTCTACTCTGTCTTCACTGGAAGTTTGTTTTTCCTTCTCCCTCTCCCAGTAAATGATTTTATCAATACAAAACCACATCTAGAGAATGAAGCTGAAATTCTAGCTATAAATCTCAAAGATAAGACTCTTAAATGTACAGTAGTTGATCAGAATAGCCAGAAAAAGACAATCTCATTGTGAAGGTTCCAGAACAAATTACATGTGGAAATTCTGTGTATTCGAAGCAAGTTAAAAAGTATACAGAAATTTGTCTGATCTCAGGATACTCAGTCTCCCTAATGAAAATAATTTTCTGCCAAGATACTTAGATAGGCACACCTAATAAATACTGAAGGTTTTGTAACAAAATCCTACATCTTCCAGCACTCTCAGGCACTTCCTAGCTTCCCCATCCCATCTTTAAGAGGGAAGGGGAAAAAAAAGCAAACCAGAAACACTAAAAACTAATACTAGCTTAACTCCACACAAGTGTCAAAGGGCAATACAAAATGCTCAGTTTCATCTATATTAGGATGCCTCCTACAGTTTTTAAGGTAATAGTGACCTAGTATTATTAATGTAGATGCTCACCAATAGCAAGAATCATGCAGTTGCACCAGAGTAAAAATAAGTAAATATTCTAGTAGAGGTGTATATTCTCAATGCTTGAAAAACGTCACCAGAATAATGATTGTTCTTG